TAGGTACGCTATTCTGTCACAGTTGGTTGAAACATGTGTTGAGAGTTTGAGAGGAATAAATTAAATGTTGAGAATGACATGAGATTGGCGTTAACAAAAACTCACCCGCGAATTTTGAAACTGGTTAATAACATGCAATTTCAACCATTGCATTAAATTATTAAACAATTTAAAATAAAATTATAGTAAAAAAACTAATTTCGTTGTTTTTTAATTACCTTATTAAAAATGCCTTTTTCAATTGTATCGGGGTCGCGGGACACTTGGCTTTTATAAAAAGGGGTCGCCACCCGAAAAAGGTTGGCAACTGTTGTTCTATAGTGTACCATAATGTATATAGTTAAGTTAGTCTTAATGTTATTGAATAAAAATATAACAAAAGATCAGCATCTCATGATTATTCTACCAACAATATGAAAACCAGACTTTTATTATAATAACAATATTCAATTAATATTCAATATTCAGAAGTGGGAATGCAGATTTTTATAACTTTTAATGTTGCCTTACAAAATTTAAAATAGCATAAGTTTAATTCTGCTCTTTAATTCTGAAATTTTGAATTAGGAAAGTGTGTTTTCTGCTTTTTTTTATTAAAGATATCTATTTAAATTTAAAATATGTATATTAACATTTTATTACATAGCTTATAGTTTAGCATAAGAACTGCACCTAACATTTTTCTAATAAAATAATGAAATGCTAATAATTTACTATTTAAAAGTTTAATAAAAAAACAGAAATTTGAATTAATATTGATTGATGTAAACTTAATATCATCAGATTATTATAAATTATCTATGTTATTTTTTGCTCATTCTTTTCTATTAAATTTTTTTTATGTTGTTTGAATGGAATAACCTATTTAAAAGACGATTAAAATTTAGAGAGCTTATTAACGTATAAACATTGAACTATATACAAAAAACAATATTCTCAAATAAGTGTTATAAACTTTTTTTACATTAATATGAATGTAGATGATAGATGTATCAGACAGTTAAGGTTTCAGCCTACCACTCTGGGTATTCAAGTATAAATCCAGGTGGTTGAAAACCCTCAGAAATTTTTTTGGGAGTAGTCAGTCCTGGATATGTTGGGCCATTATTTTACTACCTGGCTATCTTCATTATGGACATGGCTGAATCCATGATGGATATGATTAAAAAGCTCACTTAGTGCCCACAGGATGGAAAGAATCAAAAATGAAAAAAGTGTGTATGTCATAGTCACATGCTAAAATTTGCCATTTCAAGAACTTATCTGTTTCTTGAAGTGCTAGCATTCTGTATTAGATATTTGCTTCAGAATCTGATTATATAACAATGTTAAATTCATAAATAACTATACTTCTGCATCTATAAGCTGGATTGTTTAATTGACTCACCAAAAACCTTATTTTAACATCAGCAGGAGTTGAATTTTTCATGTGGATGTGGACAAATGTTTTTGATCTAATTGTAGATCTGCTTCAGCTCTTAAACTTTCCATTTTATTTTGGAATTTGAAGAAGAATGATATAAAACTTCAAACTTTTGAATGAATGACGAAGTTCAAAATCATGTTCAATGTTCTTAGTTTAACTATTTACAAATATAAATTGATGTTATATAGATATTTATGAATTTTAACAGATATATAAATTTATGTAGGTTTTACATGTATGTTTTCGTGATTAATGAGATCCATTTTCTTGGTTCCCATTTGGATCATCAAAAAAGTTTACCACACACTTAAAATTTTTCCCTCTTTAAAATTGAGGCATTCTTCTCTCCATCTTGCTTTGTAAATCTCCAGAGTATCCCTTGTTTTAGCATGCTCTGACTGAATGGTGTATCCATTAAGACTTGCTCAGTCAAAGTTTGGTTTTACTCCTGTTTTGGAGTCATATATGGAAAGAACAGTGGTTTGTTTCTTCTTTTTATGTCATATTTGTGTTCTGCAATTTGTTTAGTTGGTGATATGTTGGTGTATCTGATATATACTCCAGCTCAAATCTTTCATCTGGCTCTCTTTGCTCTATGGACATTAAAAACACTTTTTCCAAACCCATAGCAAAAGTTCCTCTTTATATTCTGTCTCCTGAAGTGGATGTATTGAGTAAGCATGGCCTGAGATGTTCATAATGCAGGTTTATTAGAAATACACCTCTACACTCAACTCAATTCAGTATATATAGTTTATTTACAGGAAATTTACACAGCTTATCTGTCACTACAATATACCAAGTGATACATTAACCGCTTCTGACCTGCCCATTTTTTTTAGAATTTTTAATTAAGCATAAAAAATACTTAAAACTGGAAAAAAACAAAAGAAATGCGCTAATTTTGAAGAAAAAGGTTCAAAGTTTAACAACCCTTGTCTCGCCTTACTGCGAAATTTGACACTGATGAGTCATTGTTTACACAGCTGGATGACCTTGANAAATTTTCAATTAAATATGTTCAGCTCTGTATTTTGTCAAATATCTTTTTGTTTCTCTTTGTTTTATGATTATTTTTCAGTAGATGCTATGGATAAAAATATTTATATTTGTTGTTGTTATTTTTTAATTTAACATTATAATTATTGTGTCTTATTTTTGCAGAACATATTTTATTCTTGCAAACATTTTTAGATGTTTAAATATCCATTTTCAGACACAATAATCTTTTTGAACAGCAGATATAAGATAGTTGCAAGAATAAAATAACTGCTAGAGAAGTAAGGTGTGATTATTGTAATGTTGTTTATTTATATGAACTATTTATTTAAATATAAAATTATTTTGTATTAATGATTATAACATAAATTGTGAATAATATCAGTAGATTATTAAAAGCTGAAATAAAATTTTTTTCTATTTAGAAAGTTGGTGCATACAGTATATTAATCTTTGGATGGTCACTGGTGCTTTATTTATTACAACTGATATGGGAAAACGTAAAGTCACTTGTAGAATCATACAGGGAATTTCTAATAGCTTACTTTATTATTATTGCTGTAATCAGTAGTGCTGTTTGTTATTATTATGGACCAGTCACAAACCATAAAACATTAAATCTGATTCAGTGGAGTTTGCAGGTAAAAATCTGTGTTTATATTAAGTATTGATAAAATTTCTTTATTGTTTACAAATTATATTTAAATAAATGTAACTAAATAAATCGGAGACATTTTTAGTAAAATAATCTGTAAAGACATTATTTTTTCTTATAAGATATATTTCTATAATAGTTATAAGGTTGTGCTCTCTGAGTGGTAAGGGGCCTAAAACCACAAATATAAAAAAAAGTGTGTTGATTTTGTAATGTTAAAGATTCTGAGTGTGAATAGGAGAATTTTATAATCTTAACATTGATTAAGAATTAACTTGATTTAGAAGTAAATTATTATTCATTTAAAATAGTTTGGGTTTATTCACAAATGATTTAATTCTGATAGAATATATTTGCATTTATAAAATGTTTTTATTAATAGTAATAAAATTCATAGGGCTCCCATGTGTCCTTCCTTTTGTACCTTTTGTTAAAATGTCCTACTTTATCCTGCTTTCTGTAGAATGCCCTACTTTTCCTACTTTTTGAATGTAAAGTTTTGGATAAATATATTTTTACATTTTTGCCCATTTATTATTTTGGACTGGATCGAAAATTCTTGGTAGACTTGTGTTTCCAAAATGCTATAGCTATTTTTCATAAACCAAATGACAGCCTTAATTAATCAGACTATTTTATGCTACAATGGCTTTGGGATGTTTATATATATAGCTGTTCTTCATCTTACTTTGTTGTTGTTGTCATCTCACAGAAATACACCAACTGTACAGTATCAGATGTATAACAAGAATTTTAAAGCCAGTCAAATTAGATTGCTGGATTATGTGAAAGAATGCATCCAAACTGGCTGCCAAAATTTGTCTATATTTTGATCAACAGAAGGAATCTGACTTCAAGGGCAGTCACAAAGCAAGATGGTTGGACAAAACAGAAAAATATCTAAAACTATTAAGATTATTCAGCTGGAGAATCATTGTAGCAGAAGGAAAGAGCTGGAGATTATGTCTGCAGCATAGAATCTCAAAGGGCTGAATGTGGCAATTCAAAACATGATCATGATGATCATGTCAGTAATGAATCTGAAAAAATAAACTTGTTCTTTTAACTGAAGATTATGAATTAGCACATGGCTAACCAAGTTGATTGAAAACATTTTAGATATTGCTTTGAAGATCATGTGTTCTGATCGAGCCCAAATTACATAATCTTGCAGCCAAACTTTTTTGGTTATTTTTTTATGCTTTATAAGAAGTCAGTTAAATGAAATGAATTCTACCTTCAATTCACTTGATTTATTTGATTTCTGATAGTCTGAAAATAGCTTAGAACAAGAAAGCATTATTTTTTTATTATTAATTAATTTAATACAAGGTTTTTTTACTTTTTGTATGAGGAGCAAAGAAAAAATACAAACAAACATATTGTTCAATAACATAAACACAAATACAGTAAGTATAATAATCTCTACAGAGTCCAAGTTTTTAGATACAAAATCCAATACATAAAATACAATAACCATTACGTATATGCAACATTCAGTTCATTAATACAATTTCAATACATAAATAAAATATCCAATACAAAATCTCATAAATGGTAATTAATACACAATATTCCAAACATACAAAATTAACTAATAAACAAGTTGTGATACACTGTGACGATCTGATGACATTACAATAGAAATGAACAGAAATTATTAAAATAATTTAATAAATCCAATAAATGTACCCACCTGAAAAAAACACAAAAATAAGAAATATGCAGAAAAGATTAGCAAAAGGTCATCATAACCAATCAACACTAATTAACCCCCCAAGAAAGCACTAAACATACCTTATACACCTTTCTACACAGGAATTTAATAAAACAAACATTTTCAGCATGCTTGAGAAGTTTTTTTCAGGCTCACCATTACAAAATGAATTTAAAAAGAGATTCTGTTTTGGAACAAAATATTCTTTGGTGTTGTTACATCTTTTGAAATCACTGTGTGTTTTGAATTTTCAATATATCTTGCAGCATTTCCAACTTGGACAATTATTGATATAACAATCTAGAAAGTTAAGCTTGGTTTTGAAAGTTATAATTAATATTCTTTTAAGAAAAATTTATAATTACTTCCCAACTGTCTGAGAATCAGATTAAATAGAATATGATATTGAAAACATGCTGCATGTTTAAAAATATTTAATTTAATTATAATCATTACAATTATAAATTATTTCTGAACTTCATAGAATTTTCAGTGAATGTTTAATCACAATTATAATACAGTATTATGAAACAAAATTGCTACATTTTATATATTTTGAATATTTCACATATGCAATTATTACAGAAAATAAGAGCCAGACTTTTGCTAGTATTTTAGGATAGCAATTACTAATAGGCATTACTACTAGATTATTCATTGCAATACCTGTGAAATTTAGATACTGAAATATGATAGGTTATATATTAAAATTCAGAAATTGTTAATTTATATTATGTTCTAAAGATATTATCTAGAAACAAATTATATATATTTTTAATACATGCATACTGAATATATACACTTACACAATCTGCTCTACAAAATATGGTCTTATGATATCCTTCTGAAATTAGATGTGGCCCTAAATCAATTTTTTGCAAAGTTTCTAAATTATTTAATTCTAATTATTAAAGTATTACTTAAGAGATGACAATTTCAAATTACATTATTTATTAATTAAAATTAGCATATTAAAATATTTCAAGAAAAATCCATTCATTTTTTAGCTATAATCAATAAATAGTTTTTATTATTTGTATGAAATATAATAATTGTTTATTTTTTATTATTACAAAATCAATGAATATAACAATAATAATTTAAAATATTTTAGCTAATAGGATTATCCATAATTTTCTTCAGTTCTGAATTCAGAGAAGTACCAACAGTAATTATCATTACAATTATTACAATACATGTATTTCCACAAAAATGGTTGATAAGAGGTCAAATGCTATGGTAAGATAATACATGCAGTTCAAAAATGTTCATTGTAAATTACAGTTTTTAAAATAGATTATCTGTTGAGTAGGAGGAGATGGTTTCCACCAAAAGTAAAATTATTAACAGAAACTGAATATATACAACAAGCAAATGAAGAAACAAAGAAAGCTTTGGAAGAATTAAGAAAGTATTGCTGCAGTCCAGATTGCAATGCTTGGAAAACATTAAGGAAACTAAATAACCCTATCAGGTATTTACATTTTAATGTGTTACTTACATTATCAATTTTTAAAATATTTTTTCAATTCATAAAAATTTAAATTAAATAAATTTAAGTAAAAAATAGTAAATAAATTTAATTTAATAGTATAACTGTAAATCCTCTAATAGATGTTAGGTCACTTATAAATGTTTAGTTCAAACTGCTAAATAGATACTAAGTGTTAAATTCCTGTGCTCAGCTTTAGAGTGTTCTGTATATGCTAGCTATGGTAATTTTCCTCTGGGAATTCTTGAAAAATATTTTTACTACAACATGGGGTGCATCTTTCTGTATTTTCTCTTTTGAACTCTTCATTTTACACAGATCAGTGAACTGGATGTCGATTGGAATGACAACCAAGAGGCCTTAAAGTGTCACCTTTAAACTGAAAACAAATGTATATACAAAAAAACAATTGGAAAAGCAGCAGTGCAGAAATTCAAAGTGCATTCAAAGCAAATTCACATGTGTGGAAGCAAGCATGATACTTTTAAGACTATCAAAAATAAGAGTGAAGCAAAGAGGCTGGCAGGAAGAGGGTGCAAGAAGATCAGTGAAGAATTAGAAGAAAAGGTTATGCAGTGGATCTGTGAGCAGCAAGAGAAAAATAACTATCTCCAGATGGATGGGTGAAGATTTCTTCTGTCTTGGCCATCACAGATAAGACAAGAGAAATCTTCACCCGCTTAGATAGATGAAAATGATAAACAAAATGCAGTGTTCACAGCTAGCAGATAGTGGCTAGAAAAATTCATGAAACATAGATATAGTAATACCATAAAAACTTTATGCTTACAGTAGTAATGTGTTGTGCAGTAGTGTGCTTTTTCTGTTAAATAAAAAGGAAAAGTTCTTATCAATTACCCTACAGTTTTCATTCTTTGGGAGAGAATGGATGAGGAAAACCATAAAGGTAGTAGTGGAAAAAAGAATGAACTATATTTCTCCTTTTTTATATCACTAGTTTGAATGAAAATCCTTATCTATTGGAGATAATATACTTAGCTCCAGTGTATGTAAGATACATCAGGTCTCTTACATACACTGGAGGTAAGTATATTCTTCAGGTCAGGTATCTATTAGAGGATTTATGGTATATTCAAATTGTTTCATTCTTCCTTTAAAAATTCTCTTACTTGATAATTACAGTAAATTTTTTAATTATTGATAGATAATAATCAATATTTTATGTAATGATATGATACATGGATTGAACTATTGTTTATATTATCTAATTTTTAAAAAATTGCTATGATTTTTATTTAAACAAATTTTCTGATAATTAATATACTCAAACCTGTGGTCTTAAAAATTGTAACATTGTGTAAAGTATACTTAATATTAGAAAATTAGAGAGAGTTTTTTTTAATTATTCATTTAGTTCATTGTTTATATTGTTATATTTATATTAAAAAAAACTAGATAGAATACATTTCCAGAAAATAAATATCTTAAATTATAATACAGTCAAACCTTGAGTTACAAATGCCCTGTTTACAAACAAAATTTTGAACACCATATTTGCTCCAGTTGCTGCACAATAACTCGGTTTCTGAACAAGCTGCTTGACAGAGTCGGCCACTGATGGTCAACTTCCTATACTTCCTATGTTAAAGAAAGTCAATGGCCCAACCAATCAAAGACAGGACTACCAATTCAGTAGTGGTGCCAAGATTCGCCTTGTGTCATTAGACATCACAACAAGAACCATTGATGATGATGATATTCAAATTAGATTTCAATGTGCATGTGGGTAAGTTACTACTACAGTAGAACCTCGAAAACTCGGCTCTCGATAACCCGGCACTCTGGATAACTCGGCCACACCCTGGCAGGGCAAAACAATCCTTAGTTAATTAATTTTCATTATAGACAGCTTTATAAAAGTATAAAAGCTCTCATAAAGTATTTTTCTGAGGTCTGTCTTATCAGGTAAATTACTGTACACAGTGTATTCATTAATTTTCATTTTCATGTAGTAAAGGCTCTATGCCTTCATAAAGGACGTACTTTTCCTTTGTTTAAGGGTATTTGGGCAGTTTATT